CCCTTAATTATTCTGAAACAGCTGGGGTGGCAGACCACTTCCTGCAAAAGTGTCTTTCTACAAAATCTGAAAAAAACAAAATAGTCTGTGGACCTTAAAAATGCAATAACATGTCCCCTTTCATTTAGAGAAATCTGGTTTGCTGTATGGTTTCAGAAATAATAATAATAAAAAGGTCTTTCTGTTTTTGGTATCCTTTGCGCTTTCTTAGCATGCCGTATCCTAAGCTATTTGCAGACAATAATATTTATTTGCTTAAAGATTATACTTTGAATTTGGCTAAGGATTAACCTGCAGCAAACTACACGTCCCTGTGGTTTGAGAGGGCCTTTCTTAATCTACATTTGATTGACAGGGTTAGTTCTCCTCGGAGTTTTAGCTTAACATTATATTAATCCAAAGCATTTCTTCAAAGTCCTTTGTTGTTGTTGATGTTTTGTCCTGGGAGGAGGCTCTCTTTCGCCCATTGTATTTTAGAAGTTTAAACACAACTTCTAAAAGGAGAGGTTTTCATGACAGGCTTCTGAAAAGTGTAACAATCTCTTAATATCTGGAATGCAACATCTCAGTGCTCTGTGAGTTTCACGTGCCACGTCGACAAAGTGCCCAAACTCTACAAACCTACCATGTGCACCAACTTATTAGAAACGGAATCTTCAGAATTGTCTCAATAAGCAACTGGGTGGGCTTTGCTCTCCATTCAATAGAACGGCTGTTATGAAAGCCACGCCTTTAAAAGGGATGTCCCCAGACTCTCCACAATCAGTAACTGAGGAAGAGTCTCCAAGGGGGTCGGGATCTGTGGGCCTGACTCTTGTCCCCGTGGGTTCACTTTTTGTCTGCAAGCCCCCGGGAGAAGCAGAGCCGGCTTCGCTGAGGGAGCTACGATGGCAGCAGGCGCCCTGAGACCCAGGGGAGGAGGAGAATCCAGAGGTGGAAAGCAAGGCCAGGAGGAGTCCCTATACCCCTGGATTGGATCAGATTCGACTTTTTTTTTTTTTTGAAGGATGTGAATGAGTTTCCTCCGATTCTTATTCAGAGGATGAAGAGGATTAGAAGACGTGGGTTTAGAAGACGGTCTTGGGGAAATCGTTTCAATTCCCTGTGCCTTAGTTTCCCTGTGAGCAAATGGACATATGAAGGCCTGGCCTCTTCCAGTCACAAGGGGGCTGATGTTAAAAACGGAAAGGATTTTAAGCTTTTATGTGGGAAATGCATGTGCAAAATATTCCTCATTTTTTAAAGGTGCGGGATAGTACACTGCTAACCACAGTAAAGATTAGCATGCATGATGGATATTCTTTGGTTCTTCGTATAAAATATATAGTGATCAGCCATGTTTGTAATGATGGGAGCCCTGAGGGGCAACTGGTTTCTGGGTAACAACAGCCAGTTCTGGGCCAGGAGATGCCTCCAGGGAGACGAGCGTCTTGCCGCTTGCTCTTATCCCAGAAGATTTCCAGACAGCGGCGCGTTTCCTTTCCCTTTTTATGAATGGCAGCAGTATTGTGCTTCCGTCTGCATTTTTCTCCCAGAGCCATTCATAAAAAATAAAAACAAAATAACAACAGAAAACTTTCCCGGCGCAGTCTGGAGCCAGTGGGTGCCAGAGGCTGGGAAAACATCCTGGCAGCCGTCACCCCGAGCAGCATTGAGAGCCTTCAAGGGTCTGTTTGTTTGGTGAAGTGCCCTGTGGAAGGGCGGGCAGCTGGGGGAAGTTGTGTGACGCGGACTAGGCCGGGCGCCAGGGCTGGGAGCGTTTCAGACATTGTCTTTCCCCTCATTGAAGTGTCAGGACCTAATTCATGGAAAATTGGGGGAGCTGGCAGCCCTTGCGGAGGATTTCATTGAGCCCGCCGTGTGCAGGAGTCACGTGAATGCGGGATCCTCAGCCAAGAAAGGAGGGGGCCCCGAGCAGTAGGAAGCTGTCAGCCTGCAGGAATGCGTGCGGATTTGAAGCAGTTTGGGAGTAAGTGTGCACAGGTGGGATGGCAGGAAGAAAGAGAGGAAGAAGAGCGGTGTGTTCTGACAAAGGATTCTTTTGATTCTTTTGAAATGAACACTTCTCTCTTAGCGCACACTGGCGAATCCCCAAAGGCAAGAAGTCCTCCTTGTCCTTGGTTCATTCCACCTGGAGAAAACATCATCTCGGAAGCCTGGGCTTTTATCATGTCAGCTCTACTATGATTTAACGTCTAAGGGAAGAACTTTTTTTTCAGGGCACAAAAGCATTTTGCATGTCTTTTCTGTTTAGTTTGTTCATCTTAGAAAAATAAGGTTCCGATGATTTTTGTATACGTTTAATACGGCAGCAATAAGATATACATCATCACAGAAATTCCGAGAGGAAGAAAAATGAATAGGCACTCTGTCCCTTCCTTCCACGACATAGTACATGTATTCTAACTTCTGTTACTTGGGAGAACTGTAGCAAATTTTTTCCCATTGGAACCATGACAGCATGTCACTCTCCACATCAGAGTGGCTCAATGGTATTCACAAATTTCAGCGATATATAGACAGAACAAGGGAGGTTTATGGGATTCAGACAGGAGGGTGAGTACTGGAAGGAATCCATCGAAAAGTGGGGGCTTCCAGTCCGCCTTTTACAATACAAAGAATAACAAATATATTTCTAATACTCTAATTCTTGGGAAATTAATTTAGGCTGGGTAGAAAACTTCCCTCAGGTGTTTGACTTAAAAGTGAAGAGTTTTACTCTGCAAACAGAATTAAATAGATATAGATAGATATAGACATAAGAATTAAATAGATATATATAAACTAGGGGCCCAGTGCACAAATTCGTGCACCTTGAAAAGAACTGTGGGCCACAAGGCTGTGGTGGGCACAGGGGCAGGTCTCGGCCCATCCTTCACACTCCTTCCTGGCCCCTGGTCCCCTGTCTGCTGGCAGCCCTGCTCCCACCACTGCAGCTCCCACATGCTGACAGCACCCGCCCCACTCGCAACCGCTGGTGGCGCGGAGTGATTGGGGCCAGCACCAGCAGTGGGTGCAAGTGGGGCCGGCACTGTCAGCGGATGTGAGCAGCAGCTACTGCTCCGATTGCCCCTCAGGAGCAGAGGGAGGTGGGGAAGCCCTCAGGGGTGATTCAGGCTGGCGCCAGGCACCAGCAGCGGGTGCAAGCAGCAGCTCTGGCACCGGCTGCAGGTGCGAGCAGTGGGTGGGACCGCGGCACACGGGAGCAAAGAATTTACAGTAACCAGCAGAGGCTCACCCCAATGACAGCGAACAGCCTTGGTTTGGTGTCCCCGCTCACCTGCTCCACCATCCCACCGCGGCTAACGCCCGCCAAGTTCCGTGCTCTGCCTCCTGCTGCTGACGCCCGCCATGTTCCGCACACGCCCCCTAGTGGTTAGCGCACATCATAGCGACCAGTTGTTCGGTTGTTCTGCATTCGGTCTATTTACATATTAGCCTTTTATTATATAGGATAAGATATTGGTACAGATGGTACTTGTAAGTGACACCATCAAGAAAGTGAACAAACCCACCCATATTCTGATGAGACTTGTGCCCAGAATGCATAAAGAACTCTTACAACTCAATATGAAAAGACAAATAAATTTTAAAATGAGCAAAAGATTTGAATAGCTATTTCTTTAAAGACGATATACAAATGGACAATAAGCACATGAAGAGATGCTCAACATCATTAGTCATTAGAGAAATTCAAATCAGAACAACAATGATATTCAACTTTACACCCGTAGGATGTTTAAAAGGCAGACAGTGAGCCCTAACCGGTTTGGCTCAGTGGATAGAGCGGCGGCCTGCGGACTAAAAGGTTCCAGGTTCGATTCTGGTCAAGGGCATGTACCTTGGTTGCAGGCACATCCCCAGTAGGGGGTGTGCAGGAGGCAGCTGATCGATGTTTCTCTCTCATCGATGTTTCTAACTCTCTATCCCTCTCCCTTCCTCTCTGTAAAAAAATCAATAAAATATATTTTAAAAAAATTTTAAAAAAGGCAGACAGTGACAAGTTTTAGAGAAATTGGAACCTCATGTATTGCTGGTAGGAATGTGAAATAGTGCCACTGCTTTAGAAAACTACCTGGCAGTTCTTCAGAAAGTTCAGCATAGTTACCTGTGTGACTCAGAAATTCCGCTCCTAAATATATATGTACATTTTTAAGAGAAATGAACATGTATCCACATTTTAACTTATATATACATATGTTCATAGCAGCATTATTTATGTTAGCCAAAAGGTGGGAACAACCCAAATGTCCATCAACTCGTGGATGGGTAAACAAAATGTAGTATGTTCATACAATGAAATATTATTTGGCAATGCAAAGGAAGAACCACTGATAACATGCTGCAACATGGACAGTCCTAGTAAACGTGCTAAGTGAAAGCTGCCAGACCACAAAATACCATTGATTGCATGCTTCCATTTACACGAAGGCAAATTTATAGTGGTGAGTTAGGGATGGGAAGGTGGCTCGGGAGGCAAGAAGAAATGGGGAGTGGCTGATAAAGTGTATGAGGTTTCTTTTAGATGAGGTGAAAATATTCTAAGGTTAGATTGTGATGATGATTGTGAAATCCTGTGAATATACTAAAAACTTTTCATTATACACTGCATATGTGTGAATTTTATGGTATGTGCATTAAATCTCAATAAAGCTCTTTTACAAAAAAAAAATTAACAAATTAGGCCCGTTTCCTCCTCAAGTGTTATGGTATTCAGACAAAAAACAGCAACAACAAAAACACAAAGTAAATGAAATAAGTTCATTTTGATATAGCTGGTATGCATGCCAGACTTTAATTGAGAATTGTTTTAAAAGAGATAACCTGCATTTTATTTCTTTAACATATAGAGACCATGAATAAAGAAACCTTTTGTATCTTAACATTTTTACCATTATTTGCAGAGGCATGTCTATGTTTAAAATAATGTATAATTTTTTTTCATTACATATGTTTTCTCTTAAACTATAACAGTTCTTTTCTTTGTTGTTCTTTTTTAGCCACAACAAGTTGTTCAGAAGAAGCCTGCTCAGGTAAGAGATGGTCATTATGAGTTTTCCTCCCAATTAATATAAAAAGTAAAGTGAAAAACAAGTCCCCAAATTAAACCTTTAATTCATAGTTTTCTAGTTGGATTACATCAGCATTGCGGTATTCTTGACAGTTTGTTGTGTCCTTCAGAAAACGTCAGAAATGCACAGTCGGAGATTGTCGTTAAAAACCCTACACAATCAAGACCTTTGCTTAAGTGCACCAGGCAAAGGTTTAAAAATAAAGTGTTTATTTCAGTGCCTTGTGTATAAAACATATCAAATTGCATGTGTTTTACCCATCCTTAAACATCTAATTGTGTTCTTTCCACCTAACTATCCATGTTCCATTGACTTGATGTGGGACTTATTAGCTGCAAAATATTTCATGATTCATGACTGGAAACATATCTGTTTGTTGAACAATACATAACATTAAATGATCCCCAAATGCCCCCCAGGGGAAACTGGGAAATTAAGTTACACTGGTTTTGCAGATTGATGATTCTCAGGTCTTGTTTCGATGACTGAGTCATAGTCTCTGAAGTCTTGGGATACATCAATATGAAGAACCAGCTTTCCTTCTCTTGTCCCATATGACTGGAATTCCTTGTCCTGACTGTAATCCATACTTGGAAACATAAGAATTATACTTATTGAGGGAGTATATCTTGAAGAAAGCAAAACTGAAGGATAAATTAATATATTGCCAAGTCTGTGAGCTGTTATTAATGTATAAGGATGTCCTGCTGCTCTCCCCTTCTGAGTTTAAGGAGTAGGTCAGGAGATCCAGGTGTATCATGCAGAACTAGCTGAAGTAAGTTATTAAGTAGCATCATGGGTTACCAAGTTCTTTGTAGATCTCTGTCACGTAATTTAAAATATATACGGGCCCTGGCCAGGTGGCTTAGTTGGATGGAGCGTCGTCCTGTTGGTTCGATCCCCACTCAGAGCCAGCACAGGAGGAAACTGATGAATGTTTCTCTCTCTCTCTCTCTCTCTCTCTCTCTCTCTCTCTCCCCTTCCTCTCTCTCTAAAATCAATAAATATATTCTGAGGTGAGGATAAAAACAAAATCTATGGACTCTTTTTCCTAGAGGTTGCAAAAATGTATCTTGCACCCTGTTCTCTTGGGACAATGTCAACTTGCCTGGGAAAGATCACCCACATAATATTATGTGTTTACTGTTTTTATTTTATTTCATTAATATTTTTATTGATGTCAGAGAAGAAAGGAGAGGGAGAGAGAGAAAGAAATATCGATGAGAGAGAATCATTGATCAGCTCCCTCCTGCACACACCACACTGGGAATTGAGCCCGCAACCTGGGCACATGCCCTGACAGGGAATCGAACAGTGACCTCCTGATTCATAGGTCAACATTCAACCACTGAGCAACACTGGCCAGGCAGTTTACTGTTTTTTAAGAATGCTGCTTAGAAGAGAATTGAAGCTTCTAAATATGTGTAAGCACGTAGGAAATATATATCCAAATAATTGCACATGTGCTTTAAGTAGAATAAAAGTAGAGTTACCATGAAAAAAACATCATTCTCATGGCTGCTCCCATACCTAGAAGGTGAAAGTATTAGGAAGCACACAAAAAAATACCCAGTGTTTGAGTATTTGTACACAATATTAAACAAAATGAAATAAAAACTTGACATTTTAAGTAGGACATACCAAATATATTGAGCCTCTCACCCTTTATCAGTAAGAAAATCAAGAGAAAGTGAATTTATATTTCTGTGCATTTGAGTCAAAGGATACTGAGGTGTTCACTGTTGCATCATAGGCTGTGAACCATAGCTTAATACCCCTATGTGGTCTCTTGGCAACATCGATTCAGTTGCTATTCTTGGTGTTGCAGGGAAGATGTAGCAAACGAAAACAAGTCACTGTACCTAAGAAATGTGTAATCTAGTTCAGAGGTTCTTAACCTTGTCTGCATAGTAGAATAACCTAGTGATTACACACATACACACAGTAGATCCCCCTTATCTGCAGGGGATACGTACCAAGACCACCAGTGGCCTGGCCAGCGTGGCTCAGTGGTTGATCATTAACCTATGAACCAGGAGATCATAGGTTTGATTCCCAGTCAGGGCACATGCCCAGGTTGCGGGCTCGATTCCCAGTGTGGGGTGTGCGGAAGGCAGCTGATCAATGATTCTCTCTCATCATTGATGTTTCTATCTCTCTCTCCCTTCCTCTTCCTGATATCAATAAAAATATCCTTGATAATAAAGCCTAATATGCAATTGACCAAACAGCGAACCACTGGTCACTATGATACGCACTGACTACCAGGGGGCAGTTTTGTGTACTGGCCTCTAGTATTAAATTTAAAAAAGACCACCAGTGGGCACCTGAAACTGGGGGTAGTATTGAACCCTATTATATACTTGCACTATGTTTCCTCTTATATATACACTAGAGGCCTGGTGCACGAATTCGTGCACGGGTGGGGTCCTTTGGCCTGGCGGGCGATCGGGGCTGATTGGGGCCATCTCGCCCAGTCCCAATCAGGGCCAATTGTGGCCTGCCAGGGGGGGGGACTATGGGGAGGGATTGCAGGAGGTTGGCCAGCTTACGGGAGGTTGGCTATGGGAGCACACTGATCACCAAGGGGACTGCTCCTGCTTTGAGCGTTTGCCCCCTGGTGGTCAGTGCATGTTATAGTGACTGGTCAACAGGTCGTTCTGGTGGTTTGGTCGTAACGGTCACTTCTGGCTTTTTATATATATACGTATATATATATATATATATATATATATATATAT